TCGCTTTGCTTGTGGCAGACTCTGTCATCATTTTGGTCGCATTTTGACATTTCACATGTTGACAGACATGATTACCAAACCATATCCTACTGAGGACACAGATGGATATGGTTCTGTGACCGAAATGTTTGCTGGGTTATTAAAACACAATAAGCAAATATTATTAGAAACATAAGAATATCACGTATCTGGCAATAAGATTTGGTTGTGGCTCTAGTTAAAATTAAAACACAGAATGAACAGAATTTAAATGACTCCTGTATAGACTTGTCAGTTATCACTAATTTTGCTTCTTCGTCCATGAACGGGTCACGTGACTACAATTCAGTATTTTATTGGTTTAGATCACGCATTATGGATCGCAAAAATAGAAAGCCGTCTATTCTGCGATCTGCAATCCGGATCCGAAGCTGCCTCGTCTTGATTGGCTAACTTCTGATCCGCAATCTGCAATCCCGATCCAATCCAAGTCCGCAATACGTAGTGTGACACGGGCTTTACGGTTACCAAGGTGAGATTTTGGAACGTACTCTAGTATGATATGCGTTTGTCGGTTTAATGTATGATGATTTGTGAAAGAACAGTTAGTGTATAACCACGTGTGTCGTTGCCACGTGAGATTTATTTTATTTACCGTTTGACACAAATAAGTACTTTACTGTGCCACATTAATTCTGGACAAAACTTTGGTACAAAAATCTAATTTCTCTCTCCCATTTGATGCAAATTTTGTAATTATTATTTTATTCAACTAGCAGAAAAATAAACGTATAGATTAACAGGAAAGTAAAAGAAGGTTAGTTTATGTGTACAAAGTAAGCTTCCGATGTGAATTTTCGAATTGAATTCAATTCGAAAATTACTAGAAGTATTCGTTTACATGTTTAGAAAAAATATATTTTGCATACAAGCGTTTGGCTCTTTAATACTCCTTATTTATCTGCTAGTTAGGTTCTCTGCCAAAGAAACCTCGTACAAACAGTTGCAATGATTTGTTTTTATGTTTTAATTTTTTATAGTTAACTTTCTCTGCAACAAGGTGCTGTTTTTTGTACTGCAAAAAGTGTTTTCCACTGAGAGTAGATTGGATTAAGGTAAGGCTTTACTCTATGAGTAAGTGTGAAATTATAAATTAATGACTTTTAAAGTATTGACACAATAAATATGTTACAAAGGATGTCAAATAGCTTTTAATAACAAGATAATATCTTTATATATTATATATCACACATATTTAATAGATTCAAAGATGAAGCGAACAGCTGAAGCTTTAGATGTTGGTAACATCAAAGCAGATAGTAATGATGCAGAAAAACCAAAAAAGAAGAAAGTTAAATTCGAGAAGTCTTTGGAAAATAAATCAGGTAAAATCACAAAATCAGATGAAAACGCAATAGAGTTTAAATAAACATTATAAAAAAAAATAATCTACAAACGCTTTTGCAGGTAAAGATACAAAGACACTTTTTACAAAGAAAACTTCAAAAGAAAAACTTTCAAAACCTAACGTACCCACGAAAGTAGATTGGGTCAAATTGAAAAAAGAGAAAAAAGAACTCAGAGAAAAACGTAGAACTGGAAAATTGAATGACATAGCATATGACAAATTGATGGACGCAAAACGAATTTATGAAAATTTGCGTAGATCGAAGTGCGATCAGCACGAACGTGTAAAGTTGATTCAGTCCTTGCATAACATATTGGAAGGTCATTACAACAAAGTGACATTCACGCACGATATGTCGAGAGTGGTTCAGTGTGTGATCAGATACTGCGATGCGAACATCCGGCTCGCTATATTTCAAGAATTAAAACCGTCCGTTGTTCTGATGTTACAATCAAAGTACGCGAAGAATTGTGTAAAGTCTTTCTTAAAGCGCGGCTCGAAAGAGATCAAACAAGATATTATTTCCGCGCTTTATGGTAATATCTTCAAATTGATGTGCCATTACGTATCGGCTCCTCTTATTGAACTCTTGTACACCACGTATTGCACAAAGGATGACAAGACACGTTTCAGGCAGGACTTTTACGGCGGGAGTTACAAATCGCTATCGGATGCGTGCGAGAACGCAAAGGATATAAAGTCCGCCATATTACTTCCCGTAAAGGCAAAACTAGTCAAAATTCTGAACAAATATCTCATTAACTCTACTCTGTTACACACGATCTTGGAAGAATTCTTCGACGTATGTTCATCGAAAGATAAAAGCGAGTTAATAACTATGTTGCGATCTTACATCGTGACGCTGTCCCAGACGAAGATGGGAACGGCGGTCGCTGCGCAGTGTATATGGCACGGTAACAACAAGGATAGAAAGGTCATCATAAAATCTCTGAAAACAAACGTGAGAACATTTTGTACGCTCAAACACGGCTTCGTGACGTTACTTACGGTCTTCGATTCCGTGGATGACACCGTTCTGTTGAAAAAGATAATATTGCCCGAGATACAAGAGAACTTGATCGAGATCGCGCTAAATGAGTACGGAAGACACGTTATATTGTATCTTGTGGCTAGAAGGAACTCCTGTTATTTTCCACCAAGTATTATAGACTTTTTACGTCAGGGTGATAACAACGTTGTGAGCAAGAAATCGGCCGACATCAGGGAAAAAGAACTTCTCGACGAGATCCGAGATCCGTTTCTTGATGCCGTAACAACGGACGCGGCAACGTGGTTGTCCAACGGTGCCATAGCTATGGTAACTTTGGCGATATTAAAAATCGGATCTGGAGAGAAGTTGAAGTCCGCATTTGAAGCAATTGCCGAAGTTATCTGCGATACAGACGCGAAGATTACAGAAGGCGAGAGCGAATGCAGTCTGATCGAACATCCCGGATTGCACATGATGCTGAAGAAACTTATTAAGTATGACAAAGAATTACTGAAAAGCAATGAGATCACGTTCGGGGAAGTATTGCTGCCGCACTTAACTTCTGATGTTGTACAAACATGGGTAAAAATTAACAGAGCTTCTTTCCTGTTGGTACTTCTTTTGGAAAACGAATCTGAGAGTGTTGTGGACACGTTAAAGTCTCGATTGCAATCAATGAAAAACAATTTTGAAAATGTCGAAGAAACGTCAAAGAATAGTGGCAAATCGATATTGTTGAAAAAACTGGGAGTAGGACAAAAATAATTGGATTACATTTTATGTAAAAAAAAAAATCAAATAATAAATTGCGGTAAAATTACTTTTATTGTGTATATAATACTCACTATATTTGTAAGGTTCCTGAATTAGTGCAATATTTGTGTGCATCTCAGCCACGCTTCTGGCTAAGATCGCCGAGGCGATTCTGCTGTGATGCAAGTTAATTTGAGTCAATGGAATGTTGAGTTGAGCCATTTTTAGACGGTCTCAACACTCCCCGACACTTCCACTAGTTCAGACGTCTCCCTGCGATCTCTGTCAAACACCTTGATGGTTGCTCGACCGAGACCACAGAAAGGCCTGAAGCCACGGAGCTTCAGGGCTTCCAGCGCCGAATCGCCAATTAGGCAGGAAAAGTGGGCGCTCGTGGCATCCCTACTTAAGCTCTTCCTAGTGACGACCCAGTCACCGGTCGCCAGCCCTATATTTTGTCGATTGAGAAGCTTTAGAGCTTCTTCAATTTCTATATCAGGCTCCTCTACGTGCACCACCACTCGGTGACGCTTAGATAGCTCACTGACCGTCAGCGCCCGCAAAGGAATCTGTTCTATTTTAATCTCGGAGGCGTGATTTTTGAGCCACTCCTCCGACTCTTTGTTGGCGCACACTATTATCAGTACACCATCTTTTTCCCAAGAGCTGATAAAATTGGGGGCATTAGCCTTTCCAGAAAGACTGAGGATGCGGGCTCTGATCAATCTCTTGATCGTAGCCACCTCACTGGCTCCTATCTTTTTTTCTGGGTGACCTTCTAAGACGAGGGCCATTTTGATTGATCTCTTGGTCGTCTGGGCATAGAAACCTTCTGTTCTAGCTTTTTTGTCTCGATAACCGTCTGAAGGACTGGAGGTATTATGTTCAGGTTTGGTTGTTTTGCTTTCCGGAGCTTCTTCAGTATTAAGTTTAGTTCCAAATGCCGCCGGAGTGGAGGAAACCTCCTGCGCTTCTTCCACTCCCAATACTCGCTTCTTGTATCGACGCCTTGCCGCGCCGCTAAATCTTACGCGAATTTTAGGACGGGCATCATTGCCCGTCTCCGCGTTGTTTAATTCTCCCGGGCGTTCACTTCTATTGAAAGCTTCGCCCTGAGAGATTGTTGTTAGGCTTGTTTTATCGAAGGTTGAGTTTAAATTTTCTGAATTTTGCATCTTGTTCCCGCGAGTGTCGCGGTTTCGCGGTCTCACCCAGCCAGAGCCGCGATTGGCTGGGGCTTGGCTACTTACTCCTGGAGTTCGCCCGGTATCCAGGAGGCACCGTTTGCGACGCAACTTCCCTTGCGCCATGCAGCTCTCGGCACGGTCGCTTACACCTTAGCTTGGGGGGTTCCTCTTAGTCGGCCGCGCGCGGATCTACCTCTGAGCAGGTGACACCGCGCGCAATCTTAAGCCCCACCACCCGCTTCGGCGCGGGAGCCCGCAGCCCCCGAGGACACCAGGATTACACCATGTGTGGTCAATGTTTGTCTCGTCAGATTTTAACAACGGAACTTCGGACTTAGGATTTGTAAGTGTAGTCCCGTGTATAATTACTGCGAGGCGATCAGACCACGTGCGCACCAAGCGCCCCGCAATCCGCGAGCACCCACCTCGAAGCTACTACAAGGTGGGAACCCATTCGGGGGGTATTTGACCGATAAATAACGAGAAAACAAATAAATTCTACTTTTACATACACAAAGTAGCAGACGTATAAACGTGACAAAGTAATTCTGTTTTTTTTTTCTGGTATTTCAGGACTAATGTTATAATAAAAAAAAAAAAAATACGCAACTTTTCGTGACACACTCATAGGAACAGATTAGATTATAATTTTTTACTCCTTCAAAAAACCCCGCCCCATGTGGTGGAGCGTAAATACATAAGGGTATAATAATTTTATAAACAAATTATGTTCTAAATTACATCTTATTAAGCGACGAAATACTATATTAGGCACATCCTACACATATTAACATATTTAAATAAACACACAACCATAGCTATCAGAATCTTGTTACCGTGGCTCAAAGTTCGTCAATATTTTAAGAGCAATATACGCAAGATATCCCGATGTGTGTGCGAAAGATGTAAATTCGATTCGGAATACAAATGTAACGTGTGCCTAACATGTCTAGTTAAATTTTAAGCATCTCTTTAATATCGACAACTCTGGTCCGTATTTCGGGCTGATTATCCTTCATCAGATCAGGCAGAAGTTCTTTTAAAATGCGCGTCATCTTCTCGAGTTGATCATCGTTATTGGTTTCTCGCATTTTTCTCGCTAACGAAAGAACTATATTCAACGCTTCTTTCCTAATTCTGGTGAACTTTGAGATATCTACAAAAAAAAAACAGTAAGAAATAGTTAAATTAATGCACTCTTCCGTAATACACAAACCTTGATGTATTGTTTCAAGTACATCTAGAATAAAAATTAATGCTCTTAAATTCTGTTATATTGTAGAAATATAACAGATGACAAAGTACTTACTTATACAGTACGATAATATTTTATTCAGGCTATCACTTATTTCGTCTAGTGAGTTTTTGTCTTTCATCGATAACTCAGCTTTGTTAATTTTCAATATGACCAGTTTATCCACGAAGAAATTCAACGCTGTCAAAATAGCAATTTGCACAGACCTTGTGCTGTTCGGCAATACTTTCTGACAATGCGTGACGAATTCTATGCAATATTTGTCTGCAATCGCACAACCGAGTCAAATGTATAAAAAAATCACATTCAGAGAAAATATTAATACAAATATTTACACACACATCTTCTTTAAATTTATACGTAGTACACACATAGAATAAAAATCCACTGAGAGAAATCTCATTAGACGTCCATTAGATATCAAATGAAGCTGTAGACGTTAAACTAATGAGGTTAAACAGACATTTAATGAGGTTTTTGTTCTATGTGTACACTTTATAAAATCTTTTTGTAACCTTGAGTATCTTTGTTAGAGGGCCATGCTTTTCCGAGAGCTTCGTAAGCTGTTTCCTGTAGCTTCATATTACTTTCCTTTTTCTTTCTACTTTCCTCCGCGTTATCGTCGTCGTCATCATCGTTACTTTTATCAGATAGCTGAATTTATATAAAATAACCATAATGTCACAATGTTACCTACATCATCATGATATCTTAATGTCGATATGTTTTACCTTGATCAAAATATTCTGTACAATTTCATAAGTTTCTGTAAACTTATCGATGTCAAGTTCGTGCAAGACAGTAGCAAATGCTTGCAAAGCGTTTCGACGATATTCTCGTTTGCTCTCTTTCAAACTTTCATCGTACAACGTTATTACAACTAAACCTAACAGTGAAGTATTCTCGTTTAATTCTTTTCTGCAATAAAATCCAATTGATATAAATTTTGACAAGTATTAATTAATTTTTTTGTATTTCACTCAAGAGAACGTAGCATCAAGTTTCACAAATATACATATATAAATAATATATAAATATTTCAAATATATATAAATAAATAATATAAATTCGATGTACATACTTGCTATTGCACGTTAACGTAGTGAGCGCGTTCAGTAAATTTTCTTTTCCGTTCCATGTTCTACCAGGATTCAAACCGTTCATCAATATCTTGAATAAAGCGTATCTGGCTTCTATATCGATACTACAACCTGACTTCGAGGCAATGGTGTGAATTGCGTTCGCGGATTGCACTTTTGCGGTCCACGACGCCGACTCCATGGTCGTCTTTAAAGTACGGATTATTGCCTCCTGATTTTGTACAATTCCCGCTTCCGTTCCGGGAGTTATCTCGCTCCAAAGTTCGGTCCATAATTCGACGAGGTTTTCATTTCCTGGATGAATATCAGTATCAACGTGAGGACGGTACGAAACTCAAAAATACGAATACACAAAACACATATCTGTAAATAATAAAATTTATACTGGAATACAAACCTGGTACCTTTTCTGCGTGCATTGCAAAAAAGACAAGAGGTATAACTACATTTTGGAAATTTTTCAATTTCTCCTGATTGTAATTGTTTATAGACTGTAAAACGTGTCCGATCGCTAATCTTATCGCATCATCTGTAATTTTTTACATTTTTCTCTATTTTATAGTGTTCTCATTGAACAAGTAAAACAAAAATTGTTTGAGAAATTTTAATTTTACCACAAACAAAAAAGAAATAAAAACAGACATATGAAACTGCTTATAGTCTGCGTATACCTTCGCGTTCCATGTACCATGTATTCAAGGTATTATATAATTTATCCAGACTAGAATCCTTAGCCGAACCAACTATGTGCCCGATGCAAACTGCGTTATTCTTTCGCACAGCGGCATTTCGATCCGTTAAGCCATTAAGTAAAGCGGACAGAATTTTAGCTAGATGAAACAATTTGGACAAAAAATTTAAAAAACTTGTGATTACAAAAACACATGTACTATTTCGTAGAATAAATCAAAAATTTAAATCATAACAACGGAATACGTGAATAAAATAAATTCTTACGGTAATAAATAAAGTATTTCTGATTATTATTATATTTCTAAAAAATTTCAAACGGTTACTAACCACTGTACGGCTGCAACTCTACTTTCATATGGGTGCTGAGGAGGATTACGAAATGCGAACAAGCAATTTTTGTACCGAATCCTACGCTGCATTTTATTAACTCTATCACTTTTGGCATTAGTTCCTTTAAAATATCCGCGTCAATATGTTGGATACACTGTGGAAAAGTCGATTATTGTTTAGTGTGTGTTGGGAAGGCATTCGTCCAACGCGTTGAAGTTAAAAAAAAAAACGAAAGTACTCACTTTTGTTATCGTATCTGATGCGTAATGGCCTTTAGCAACGTTAGCTCTAATATTATCAATAGCCTCCTGCGTTTCCGTAGTTGCGCCGCACACGTTGCTTAAATACGAAAGCTTAGGATTTTCTGATTCGCCGATTGTTTCCAGTAATGCGGGTATTAGATTGACGAGTGACGGTTTTAGCAACACACCGGCAGTTGTCACGAGCTGCGAAACGGTTTGCAACGACACGGACCTCACCGTGTCTACGGTATGGGTAATACCAATATCAAGCAGCACCGGCAGTATCGCTTGAATAACTTCCTTTCCCGCACTACCGTGGGAGGAGTCGCAATGGCGTATGCAGACCTGCGTGCGAAAACACAAATCTCACATTAATTATTGCGAACAAAACCGCGAACATAAGAGTTCTTAAAAGACTCGTTCGATGGACTTACCTTGCTGAGAATTTTGGCGGTATTAGTCGCGGCTAATCGCGTGCCCTCGTGAATATCGTCCATTACGCGAAATAGTCTCTTCCAAAGTTCCGGGCCGTATTCGGCGAAGTTGAACTGAACATTTGTCCTTAAAAGATCTGCGAGAGCATTACAACAACTGATACGTACTCTCCACTCGTTATTCGTTAGATTATCAGTTACATCAGTCAATATTTCTTTATGATACTGTTCGATCTATGGCGATATATAAAAAAAAACATAAATTTTTATATTCGTCACATCATATATATATATATATATATTATATATATACGTGTAAAAATACTGGACTATTATTAACGGCTATTACTAACGGCTTTTGTCGTGGAGGGAACGACGGCGCGCCAAATGCTGGCCATGCTCTGTTGAATTTTCGGCGTCGGATCAAACTGATATCTATATAATCGCGGTATGATGCTGGGCAGATACTTGTTCAGCTCGTCCTTCGCAATGCCGGCAATTGCCGCGAAACCGAAAGCCGCTCCTTTTTTCGACGTCCATATCGCATTGTGATTCGCCAAATGCATAAAGTAATACACGAGCTCCGGTTTTTGTAGTTCCGTTGCCAGAGAACAGATTTCTCGATACGTTGACAGATTGCCTCTGGGGAGAGGAAAAAATAAAATAAAATAAAATAAAATTCAGATCTCGTTTTACTCTTAAAACTACATGCGCAATTTTAATTCTTAAACTTACCCAGACGGACTCTTTCCCAGTTGACCTTCCTCGAACAATTTGGTGTCGGACGTAACTTGCTGCACTGTTCTACGCCCCTGTGTAAACTGATCTAATATATTGGATACCAAATTATCGCGTTCTTCCTGTTTGCTGTTAATATGCACCAAACTAAGACCTTTTGAAGCAATGTCCTGCACGATATCTGTTTAAAAAAGTAAAAAAAAAAAAAAAAAATGTAAGAATCTTTTTTCTGAAAAATCACAGGAAAATTCATCGATATAAATTTTCATTATAAATTTACCACTGTCGTCCGAAAGAAAATCTATGAACGCGTGATGAATCGTGAATAATCTCTCCTTGACACATTCTCGTTGAACGTTGTGTTTCAAAAGCGCGAACAACCACACACAGACTGCCTTTAAGAAACATCACTATTAAAACGAAGTCTCTGCAAGCGGTTTGTAATTTTTACCAAGTCGCATAAAATAATACCTGTCGTAAGTTTGGATGAGGCACTTTGTACATGTTGAGCAATTCGCTCAACACGTGTACCAACAACTCGTCGCTCTCCTCGTTGTACGACACAACATGCTCGGCGGGCAGAGTCGTCCAAGCGTCTCTTGCTTCGGGCGATGCCTGTCCTTGAACGCAACAAACCAAAGCTTCTCCCAGAATTAAATGGATCTCGATATCTTTCGTCTACAAATATCAAATGTAAAACACAATAAGAAATGAAGACACGCGTCGAAATTGAACGGAATATCAGATGACGAATTCGCGCACCTCTTTGACTGTTGCTAGAATTCCATTGGCAATATCCGCGGTGTGCGGGAAACATTCGCCGACGCATAAGTAACCCAACGAAAGCGCAGCTTTTTCTTTCATCTGAGAACAAAGTCGTGAGATTAGAGTGAGATTTTTTTTGCGTACGCACAACACCACACAGTATGCAGTATGTAAACAACTTGCGATAAAAAAAACAAAAAAAAAAAAAGACGAACCTTGGTGTTCAATTTGACGTTCGATAATACAGAGAAGAGTATATCCACTATTGCCTTCTTGCTCAATTTGTCGTCTTCTTCTTCAGCCAACAAAGGTAAAGTGTATGTTTTTCCTAACACGCCGATAGCTTCGATAGCGGCGTCCATCAACAATATCGGATGATCGCGAAGATACGTGCCTGTAAATCACGAATATTGACATAGGTATATACAAAGCGTATTTGCAATCTCTACGACGTACACCGTAAAAAAAAATGCATACAAATTGTTTTCACTATCTCGTTGTAAGTTGTCCAGTTGCACAAATCCTCTTTTCTTTCGCTGCGGTATTGTATCAAACTTCTCTCCATCATGTAAGTCAGAGTTATTAACGCGCCGTGCTGCGCCTCCAATTGTTTTCTACCCATAATCTCCATGATGCTCGAAACGTGCTTCTCGAATTCATTCCTCGGAAAATAGCCGGTAATGATGGCGTACGTTTTCGCGGCCACCTGTCTTACATCTTGCTTGGTTGAGGTGAGCATAGAGCGGAGCCAGGGCAACTCTTTCTCGTACGATTTTGTTATGTAATGCGGAACGGATCCGAGTACTTCCAAAAGCGCGTTTAAAGGAACTTGATCTGCATCGCGATAATAAAATTACAACTTGTAATATTTTTGAATAAATATAAAACAGAGAGTTTGTGCTATAAAATCCAATCATTTCTTACCCGCAAAAGAATGACTCAATAGCAAAATCATATCGAGATAATTATTCAATATTTCCGGCTGATCTTTGTACAACTTTTCCAAATAACGTCCAATCAAGGGAGTGTGTTCGGAAGGATGTTGTAGCGGTTCGTTTCGTGTTAGGATATTAGCGCTTCTAGCGAGGCAAACGCGAAAATAAGTAATTATCTGCAATAAATTAGGTAAGAAGAACCAATGATTAAAAATCACTTTGATGTGTATCGCGCGTGTATCTCTCGTGCAGGATCTAATTTGAAGATTCTTACTTCGGAAAACGTTGTAATACTATATGGAAGAGTCTTCTTGTCCGTGTTCTTATTTGCGGCCGGCATTCGCGATTTCATCTTCGAATAAACATAATTCACTAGTTTCACAAATTCGGGCAATATTATCTTCTTGTTGCTCTGTTGATCGTCCTCGTTCTTGTGCGCGAAGCCGTAAAGCGCCTTCGTAGCCTCGGTGCTTATCTCGTGTTTATTGTCACCGCACGCCAACAGCAAGAGATATCGCGACGGAGCGTCATCGGGTGGAAATACAGTTGCAGCGTAGTGCATCGCCACAAATCTGTACGGAAGATAATATTATCTTGTATGGCCTTACCACCAAGTGTGAGTAATTTGAATAGAACACGTGTTTCTGAAAACTGAGGTAAAACCGGAATACAAATCTATAAATGTTGTGTGTGTTCAATACATGCCTTACACTGGATTCGGGCGATTCAATATGCGCCGATAGCAGAGCGTTCATTAGAGCTAAATTACTTTCGTCGTCTTTATTCAATACGAACGCCGACGTTACGCACATCAACGCGTCTCTCACGGTTCGCCGTAACTCGCCGTCCGTCTTATAAATAATTGAGAAAATATTGTTCATCTAACAGTCAGTTATGTATGTTGCATTATTATTTTTTTTTTTTCTATATTGCGTACTTACAGTCACCAGCGTGTCAAATAAATTATGCAATAGAGTCAAATCTTTGTTTATCAAAGACGGTATTCTTTGGCCAAGTTGTCCGATAATTGTGTACGCCATTGGTTTAAGTGCATCATCACCCTCGGAGATCAGTTTTATCATACCATTGAGAATTACTCCGGCAACGCGCGCTAACGGCACAAGGCTGCAGCTTAAAAAAAAATCACAAAAATCGAACACAATTTTATTATATGTGAGAAATAAAATTAATATATACGAAAAATCTATAAATATATAAATTAGTAACGGAATAATATATATAAAATACTAAGCGCGCTTTAAAATATTTAATTGTGCGACTTACTGTTGGACGATATTTGATGTAAACTGTAGTGCCAATGATTTTAGTTTTGCGTTCGTATTTTTTCCATGAAGCGAATCAAAAATAATCTGAGGAAATAAAAAATAATTTTGTTACAGTGCCATAAATTGTCAATATATATATATATATATTTTTTTTTGTGTCAAATATTACATTACCTGTATGCTTGGTGGTATAATAAAACCTGCTTTGGTTACACGGCAAAGATATTGCAAAAGTTTAAGACGAATTCTAGTGTTCGCAGGCATTCTTTTCATCTCAGGCTTTACCTCTTTTTGTGCAGCGCCTCTCTCCAACGCATCGCTACCTAAGAACAACGTATATAGCGGAGCCGCTAATTGCACCGAAGACCAATCGAGCGTACTAAAAAAAAAAAAAACAAAAACCAAAGACAGACAAATTACAGCAGTTCGGATTAGTGATATCGCGAGACTGTGATGAACAAATTCTGATACTTTACACACCCAACTATCTTTTTCAGTTCCAAATCCGCCATGTTAGCGATGCTGAATCTAGTATCGGCAGCTGCTACGATCAGATGTACCAGTATGTCCGTATCCGGAAAGAATCCACCGGCGAGAAACTTAACAATGCCCAACTTAATCTGTTCTAACTGTTCCGCGGTCGGGGGGCTTTCGCCTATCACTCTTTTGAACGCGTAATCGCTTAAACCTGGTGGTACGTTAAACTGAGACCAATCGATAGGTTGACCTGGCTGTTGATTTTCCGTTTGTCCTACAGATCTATATTAACGTAAATACATTATGTAATTGATGCACAATTGGAAGAAAGAGAGATATTTAATATAAAATTCATTCACTGTAATTCAATTGAAAATTGTATCTAACCCATATGGAAGCAGCAACATATCAAGCATGAAATTTATAAGTTGTTTTGCAACGTAAGGCTTATCTTGCAAGCCCAAGAGAGACGCTCTTTTATCAGGATCCGCTGGTATGTTTATATGTCCCAATGCTGGCATTATTATCAACAACAAACTGAAATATTATTACTTGTATGAATCGATGTGTGTAAAAAAATTTTATTAAGGTTCTTCCGAGTTGAAGTAACTAACTCTCGTGTTTACAAACCTGTCCTGATGGGATACCGGTTTTCCTTCGATAGCATTCAATACACTTGGGATTAATTCTGCTTGTTTGGTTATCTCCATTCGAGGATATCCTAACTTTATGTATATTATTGTAAAGTTCTGCAACGTAAGAGTAACACACATGTTATAGAGCATTACGTGTGTTGTAGATTAGACATCAATTAATTGAGAATACATTCAGTATTGATAACATACAATCACAAACGAACTAGCAGATGGGTCCTGATATTGCAAGAGTAGAGCTTCAACAGGTAGCTGTACTTGAGGTCTACTCTTGATTCTCTTGTTTATATGTACCAACAATTCCATCACTTTTTTCCTTACGCCGTCCTGTCCGCTAGACAATTTAAGCAACACGGGAGGTAAAAATTTACATACTGATGCCTGTAACTGCTCATCTGTCTCTGCAGAACCCAAGCGAAGAAACACTCGCTCAAGCAAAACTAAACAAAACACAAAAGAAATGTGATTACTCACTCTGTATCATTTGCATAACAAACTTGTGCGAACTATGCACAAAATATGTACATTTTTAATCACGCAAATATATCTCGATTGTTGATTTTATTTAAAAAAAAGACGTAAAAGAAACTATATACAAAATACGTGAATCTGTCATCCGGTTCCCGTGCGTTTCTCGAAGTCGTCGGGCGTAAAAAAAAGGAAAAAAAAACGTTGCGTTTTCAAGAAGAAAAAAAAATTGTTATCACACGCAGGAGGAGTGTTAAAAAGTTGGAACAACGTTAATCGGAAATGGACACGACACATCGAGAGGATCTGTGACAGCTGCGAGGATGCTTCGAAAACGGCTCGAATAAAGAAGAACGAGACGTGACGAAGGAAATTTCGAGGAAACCGAATTCGCGAACGGTGATTCGAAAATATGGATTGCGTTTGAAAATATTTTTCTTCTATCGAGCGGCATGACAATCGACTTCGGGGCTCTTGATGTTCGCAAAGTGTGCCCCTTTGACGAGAACGAGAAACGTTTCGATGGATTTTTTCGCGATCGCGACACTCGTGACGACGATGTCGACGAACAGCGCGACGTGTAATTTAATTTACAATTCGCGCGTCTAAATCGCCGGAACGTTTCGCCGTAAAATCGACGCGGTTGAATCCTTTTTTCACGGGAGGTACTTACTCAGCTCGTCCGTAGCCGCTGCCATTTTGAAAAAGTCTAAGAGAAAGCGAACGTTACTGCTCTCCGAAGCGTGTGTGTGTGTGTGTGTGTGTGTGTGTGTGTGTGTGTGTGTGCGTGCGTGTGCGAGGAACAAGAATTTATTCGTAAAATATAACGCGCAATCAGCAGGCGCCGTGACACGACGTGAGAGATCCACACGTTGAGAAATCGTCAGGATCCGGGGGGAGGATCGACGCTATGATCGCGTGTCGTCCCGTCTTGTTGCAAAATGCGCTACAATATAACGCATCCCTCGGACTTGCTACAACTTCAACGTCATTTTACGTGAGGGCGCTAAATTGCATGTCTAACGATTTAGGTTAGAAAAAAAGCTGATGAATTGAATACATCTGCCGATTGACGCGCAATATATCGCGTTAAATTTGTGTCGTCGTGAATTTTGCGAAACAATGGGTGCGTTCAGACAACTCAACTGTTGCGCGATTGCTCAGTGAGCGGAAAGTAAGCAAGAAATATTATTCTGAACGGCTTCTTTTGGCTGCGTTCAGAGTGTGACATGTTACATTATTAACATAACCAAAACCTGAATAACTAACCACTACTCA